TCGAAATCTCCGACAAAGTTAGAGCCCGTAATTGTGGAAATCACGGTTCCTGACGGGAACCGTGTGATTAAGGAGCTTTTTCCTCGTTTGCAAGTTTAATCTGGTACGAGGGAAGGAAGGGAGATCGTTATGCGTGTACTTCTGTACCTTTATTCTTCTTCTTATTAGTACGTGGAGTATTGTTTAATATTATTTAATGTTATTTGATACCGTAGGATATTCTGCGAATTACGTCGACACTGTCAAGGATAATGCGGAATATTCTTCTAAGTATTGAAGATTTGCTAGTTTGAATAATATTTCACTCAATTTTAAGAAGGCGTTAAGGCAATTAAATTTAAACTTCGACTTCAGTGGATAGATTCTAAAAGACGCAGAGGATTTATTTCCGTATTAATTGACAGGAGATCTAATCTTGCAAATGTTAACTTCTTTCATATGTACAATATTCTTCTGAATATTTGAAATTTATACCTCAGCAAAGTATTTTCCTTTAACTTCTTTCAGAGTGAAATTTTGGTTAACAGATTCCGAACAACACCGAGAATGTATCTGCATAATAATCGACTAAAATCTAATCTCCATCCGATCCACACGATACCACAAGTACTCAACGATTGATTATACTTCGTATATTTTCAAATCTAATCAAACGTTGAATCTTCCGCTCCATACGATACCACAAGTATAGTCGGGGCCACGATATAGCGAGGTCGTAAAATCGGTCAGACGTCAAAGTAAACATGTTTTAGCTGCCGGGACCCGAAAATTGACAGAGATACGAGCAGATAAGTACTTGAAACCAATGCAGATAGAAAATGCAAAAGGATTGTGTAGCTTTAATATTAACATATTTTCCATTTGTAAATGAAATACCATTTTCTACTTGAAGTACCAAATCATATGCTACCATTCGTTTATTGTTGGAACCCTCAAACAGACTGCAACACACGGCCTTGAGTGCCGCAACATCAATCGGTGCCGATTCTTGAGAGTTTAATTTACGACCTCGCTATATCGTGGTCCCAACTATACATATTCACCATATCGCCACGAGATACCCATCTCACCGTTAGAGCAACAAAGCTATTAATTTTCCCGAATCTGTTAATTTCCCCAGAAAATGAGAAAACGAGTTAACTCCCCGATGAAATATTCGACGAAGCGTATCTCGTAATTCCCCTCGACAATGATTATTATTTCACTGACTTGCTCCGTTCGAATAGGTGCAACTCTAACTCACCAGAGGTAATGTATATTAATCTACCGGGTGGCGATTAAGCGTGTCCTTGTTTCCACCGGGAAGATTATCCAATCTCATTATCGCACAGATATTTCTGTACCCAGGTTGACGTGCGTGCCACGAATCGGACATGCAATTTTCTCGTACAACTTCTGCTCCGATCAGATTTACACTGCACGCGCGCGCGCACACAAGCCTTGTAAGTATTCTATTTACCTTTCGTCTATGCGCTCCGTCGAATCTGTGTACAATTACGCGAGCATTATTCCGCATTATTCAAAGTTCGGATTTGTATCATGCAAAACTAGCCGCGATGGGGCTTCGGGTGAACGGTGAGATCGCATTCGTTGTTACAAAACGATTACGTTAGCCGCAAGTAGAATCTTACCGTGCACGTCCGACAAGCTCTTATGAATTTAGTGCGCGTGATATACCGTTTTCAATTATCTTCTTCTTCTTCGCCGCGGCCGTGACTGCTGTAGCCTGGGAAATTTGCGCAGTCTTAACACGACGCGAGATATACATTCGCGGTGGAAATTGCAGGTTAGGAATTACTTTTTCGCGTAAAATGTTTCATACACGCGCGATTTAATCAGGAACATTGTGTCTCAATAACAGAGACGGTTTATACTCTTTGGAGTTATCGAACAGCTGGCCTAAATTGCTACTCTTCCAAATTTTCATTCAAGTTTGCAGAGTAACTGTATCAACGCGTCGTCTGACTTATGAGGAGCAATTCTACTCTCGTAACGTTGCAGTTTCGAGTTCCTCTTGTAAAAACACATCGTCGTTTTCAGTGCAAAATAGAATCACTTATGTGTCAAATGTATCATCTGAATATAGCCAAAATATACCAACTGTATTTCACGGAAAATTCTACAATCCTGAAAAAAATGTATCAATACGTCGTCTGACTTATGAGGAACAATTCTACTGTCACAGCCATTCTATCGAAAATTTAATCCATCTCCGTTAATCTCAACAGAGACACGAGCTTCGATTTCACACAGAAATCGTGCACTCTAAAAAAAATTGAAGCTTTCCATTCGGTAATTACCTCCAAAAAAAAAATTCTCGAACCTTTCCTTTCTCCTTAAACACACCAGATCGGTCTACGCCTTCAAAAACACATTTCAGAGCTGCCTCAAGTAAACGGTACTAAACCTGAAGAACGACTTGGAAGAAGTCTGAGTTAAAGTAATTCGTAAAATGCATTTCACCGGGAGGATCGATCGAACAGGAAGTAATTCGAATGGAACGATCGATTAACGAAATTCGTCCGAGCGAAATGAGATAGAAAAAAAAGGGGGGTCGGGAGAACCAGAGAAGCGTACATCTAAACGTCGCGTCGTTTGTCTGTACTTAGGAAGCTAGTTTTCCGACGCTCGCGACTTCAAGGGTCCACTCTCTTGGCCTTTTCCACCTGCTCCATTCACAAGTGGACAACAGTCGTATCTTCCGTTCGTTTCGCTGTCTTCTTTTTGCGTGCGGCTTAAGTATAAAGCCATCTGGCCTGTGTCGAAGCGAGTGCCGAGGCTAACTCAATATCGGTTCACTTTTCTGGCTGGAGCACGCGCGGTAATTGACTTTTTCCAACTTTTCTACCCACTCTGATCGTCCTGTCGGGCGATTTATATCGCGGAGGCGGCATTTTACTCCTTGGCTTCGAAATCCCCCGTTTCACGCGCTTCTGTTCAAAGACTGCGCCGGGACCTGTTCACCAATGGGACACTTAATCATTCCAAGGAGGAACCACCTGAGAGCCGTCGCGACGACGACAACTCGCGCCTTGCAATCTGCTCAGCCGGGCATAGAGAAGAGGAGATAAACAAAAGCTCTGGGATACATGCGAAACGTACACGGGCTATTGAGTAACGGTGTCATAGAGGTCTCTCCGAGATTCTCTTCCGTCCAAGCGAGACGAAGTTCTTTTTCCAGGGGA